AATGGCCAGCCTTGCCGCACTATAATGTTCTTACTTATTATTTTTGCTTATAAAAAACGAAATTCCCTACACCACTTCACCTAGTAACGTTATTCACACGTTTTGATAGTAATACACAAAAAATTGCACAATATTTCCATGCGAAGGCATACTTGTCATGAAAATCCCCCTATCGGAGGATGTCCAAAATATCATACGACGTGTTCCAAATTTAGCAGACTTAATTTATTTACTAAGAATTTTATTACTTATGAGAAATCTTATGTGAAGTGCGATTCAAAAAATTGACCCATGGTATTCAAATTGGGTCCACTTCATTTTTATCTCAAGTTACTAGCATGAACTAATTTTCATAATAAAACATTGACAATTAGACCTTTTTGGGCCAATAAAAGGTTACATTTAATGAGAATCTTTATATGTGGTGGCGTGCATAGAAATTGAACCTAAGTGACCCATAGTCGATAAGGTTGTTTTCTAATTTTCATTGTAAAATATTAAAAATTATATCCTATTACCGTATAAAGCTTCAGTTTTTGTGTAAACGATCATATGACAGGAAGTTCAACCAATTTCGCCAGCCGACCCAAATTTCGCATATCGATTTCGAGTACCGAAATATAATTGCACAGCGAGTTTTTTCGAAAAAATGTTGAAAACAGTAAACCGATTCGAAGCATTTTCTATAGCATTTGTCTTTGAACGTTTGTCTTTGTCACGACAAAAAACCTCCGACGGACAGACGGACAGACAAACTTAGAAAATGATTCAGAAAATGATTCCGAATTGATTAATGAAATAAAAAAGATGAATCTACTTTAAGCTCATCTAGGTGTTCCGCACAGGATATCCGCACTAACTTAGTATACCGTAGTGTAAGGTACAAAAAAAGCTCTTCATATTATTAGATAAACTTTCGAGATCGCAACCGCGATTTTGTTAAGGCGAACGAAAATACAGACGCTGACTGTTAAAAGACTTGAAAAGCTTAACAAACGGACGTAGGTACGTACACATTCGAGAATAAATTTTTAAACTGCATTTTTCATTGAGTTTATCAATCGATTGTGATGTCGTCTTCGCTGCGTATTTTATTAAGTAACCCTTGAACTCTTCTTCTTGTTATCATTATATGCTGTTGCTATTATTACAATTTTATTATTATTATTATTACTATTATCGCTTTAACTCTTTGTTTTTATATTCATAGAGCTAATGATACTTATTCTTCAATGAAAAATTTTAAAGTTCTAACAATTTTATGAATGCAAGTGTTTAAATATTAATGCATAGCTCGATTGACAGTTGTTGTGTTCGGTTGTGTATGCCTGATATCAGTTAACAACAAGAGAATAACATCAATAGAAAAGCAGATGAATGCGCTGCAAGCATAGCGCAAAACACGTGTTTTCATATTGTTTTTCCTTTATATTTATATTAATACAAACATTTCGGAATTTAATTGAATTTATTGTTTCTCATAAAAAGATTTATTACATAATTGTTAGGTTTAAAATGTTGCAACAACAGCATAACAGCATAACAGCATAACAACGATATGGCGAAGCAAAGCAACGAAATGAAATGAAAATCATGCATTAGAAGATAAGATTATGATAAGAGGTCATTTACTAGATAAATGTGTTTAATATAAAAATAATATTCAATTAAAATTTCTATTAAAAGAAACAAAAACGTAAGCTATACACAGATTGACTTTAGAGATAATTAAAAACAACAAAAAAAATATAAAAAAAAAGCACTAAAGAGAAGCGAAGATTTTCTTCGCTTTTTCAATGGGCGTCGTTTTGACGATTTTCATTACGTTTTATTCAATTTTATCTTTATGTCAATAGGTTTGATTTTTTCCCTAATTGGCTAAAATGACGTGTCCCCGACATGTTTCATTGAATGCTTAAATTACTGTATCTATTGTCTTGAAAATTTTATTTATTTATTTATTTATTTATTTTACAAATTTTATATAGTCCTTCGCAACGTATCAGGCTATAAGATAATCATCGCATTCATTTAAAAAAAAAAAAAAAAAACCCAAACCTTAACCCATCGCTTACACGATTAACACATAGAGAACAATCCGTACAAGCAAGTGCAGCTCGTTATAAAATAAGCATTGGATGGATACAGAGACTTGCGTACTGCAAAGCATTAAATTTGGTCCCCGTAATACCAATAATTGTAAGCAATTCAGAGCAGAGTGTTCTGAATTGGATTTGCGAAAAGTCTTCAGAGCAGACTACACTTACAGGGTAAGTAACATAAACTTTTTTCATTCTTAATTTCTTTTAAATAATCAATCATTTCGGGATCGTCTCCTATTCGTGTAGTACATTGACGATCAGAAGAAAGAGGAATAAGTGAGGAAAGGTAATGAGATAAAGACAGGTGGCCGCAGCCTAGTATGTCTGTGTGCTCGATCGACTGAACACTTACTGTAGCTACGACCAAAGTAAACTTCACCGCGTCGAGTTTTGGATCCGCGAGTACTGACTTGTTTTTCGAAGTTCTTACCTCTTTGCGGACATTGGGTCTTTCAACAATTTGTATCGTTCGCAATTGGGTGATTGTTTCACTATATGATTGTTGAAAAATTCGGTGAGCATTGTTCGATAGCGAAATGCTTTCGAAAAAAATACAACCCAACTACACAGGCAGGGAATGATAGTCACCGAACTATCATTCACGTTGTAGATGCAGAAAGTTTTCAACTATTTCTATTACGTTTTGGGAATCGCTGGTGCGAAGAGTTTGCTTGTTTACATATTCGGACAAATGATTTTCACCTCCATTGAGAATAATTTTGTTCAGAAAATTCACGTAATCGGCGAATGGATCCTAGTTCTTATCTAAGAAATGTCAAAGCGATCTTAGTATTGCATGTTGACAAACCAAAAATGGCATTCAACATCACTTGTTGGAAGGATCCATCATCTCTACGATAATTTAAAAAAGCGCAACTGATAAAATTATATCCTACTGTACATTCATCTTCTCGGGAAGCGGGCCACGTAGTAAGAAGTAATCTATCATAAAACTTGGTACAAGTATTTCTAAGGTCCTCCAAAAAGTCATTGTCGGAATGGTTCCATAGTTTCAAGCTTACTTTAATCGCATTTAAAATAACCTTGAAAACGAACGCGACTTTCTTCCAAGCTAAACAATCAAGTTAAACTGACTAACTATCAAGTGAGCGCGATAGGTCTTGCTTTTAGGCATTCAACGATTGTCAATCGGACTCAGTCCTTCCAGGCTGCGATCGCTCACTACCTCCCTCGCCTTACTTTTGTGTTTTAAACTGATTGATGACTTTCTTAGAAATTATAATAGGTAACGAATATCATTGAAAAGTAAAAGGCCAGTCTAGCAAGCTAGAAAGAGATAGAGAATGATATGAGTTAACTATATAAGTAAGGATAAAATACGGCAGATATAGTCAAGGAAAACTCTTGCTATCGTTTGCTAAATCCTTGGTCCGCAAAAGCTTTTGATTACCGCTAAAAAAAAGGGTATTGTCTAGGCGTGACGCATAGATTATGCGTAGCATTTAAGGTTGGGTAAGCGAAAGAAATTGCATAAACGCAATATTATGGTTAGTTGCCGGAATTCATATGATCAGTCACGATATACCTCCATGCCATGTAAAATACACACACACATACACAAACAAAAATCATACATATCATGACGGGCGCATAGTACAACAAATCATCTTCTGCCGCGGAGTAGTATTTATGGCGTAGATATGGTTATGTATATATATATATATATATATAGAACGGCTAATAAAGGAAGAAATAGTTGGCGTTTAAGATCTTTTCAAAAATTGTTGTATTTATGAATAATAAATGCTATCTTTATACTCGTATAAGCGTCCAAGTCCATGGCTGCATGTTACGTTAAGATGTTATTCAATAAAATGATTAGATTTACGTAGCATGTTATGCTAAGAATAGTGTCGCATTTAGAGATGATTTGGTGTTGTTTTTTTTGTTTTTTTGTTTTTTTGTTTTTTTTTTTTTTTTTTAACAACAAACAAGCAAATAATGCATTTCAAATGATTTTGGTCTGCTGGTAAGGCGTTTCTAAACTTTTTGCTCTTCAAGCGAACTCATGCTAAACTGTTGTCTCCTTCTGCACCCGTTTTAACATTTAAAACGAATGCTCATTGTTTCACCATAAATTGCCACCTGTTTTATGATTCAATTTTTTTTTTTTTGTTTTTTCCTTTTGCTGCACTATGTCTGTGTTTATGTTCGTTCGTTTGTCTTCAGCTGATTGTTGCTGTTCATGTGCTCTCCATGTCGCCTACAAGCAACACCTGATTTTCATGTCATCATCGTGATCATTTGCGGCAGCAACAGCAGCAGCAACAGCACAGCACAGCACCATTTAAATATATACATATATACATATACATGCAAGTTGGAGAACATATCAAGAGCATCGCATGCAATGTTTGCGCTACCAAAATGTATAACAAAGTGTTGCATGTTTATATAAAATAATTTAGTTAATAAAACGCCTTTTTGTTTTTCTTCTTCTTCTTCTTCTACTTTTTTTTTTTTTTTTTTTTTTTTTTTTTGGGTTGGTTGCTGCTATCGCTATTTCTATTGCTATTGCTGTTGCTGTTGCTGTTGTCTGACTGCGGTTGTGCACATTGTTCGAATAAAAAGTAACAACAGCAAACAACTAAAACACGAAGTAATAAATATTAAAAAATTAGAGTAACAAACATGCAAATACCATTCATTTAAAGTAAGAAAGAATTTTTTGTTTTACAAAAAAAAAAAAAAAACAAAACAAAAAAAAAAAAGAACGAATTACGTTACGTTACGAACTTTTTGAAAGGATGCAAAAGCTTACTTTTTTTTAATTTTATATTTTTATTGTTAATACTTCATTTGTTACATTTTCAAAATGCACGATTACCTGCTGGATGTTATTCTTAGTTAAATTGTGAAACGATTTCATGCTTCACTTCAATATCTCTCATATTTAGTTTTGGCCAAGCCCACTGTTGAATTATTGCCGCTATTAATGACGTTACTTGTATTTATAGCGTTCGCGTTAGCTAACGAGGATGAAGAATTCGAGACGTTAGGTGTAAGTCCATTAGTCGAATTCATTAAAGCATTGCTATTAGGATTACTGCCGCTAGCCGAAAGACTGTTAATCATATTCGCAGTAGCGGAAGGCGAGCCTAAAGTGTAAACCTCATAATCGGTAATAGTGAAATTATAATCGCCGAACAAGGACTCATAAGACGCACCAGGGCCATCGTACGAATGCGGTAAATTTGAATACGAATCCTTTGTGGTATTGCAATTGTTCGCTATTAAAAGATCAGCTCCAGCTCCGAATATAGGTCCACAGCTGTATTACAATAAAAAATTTATGTAAAACATTTCAATTTTCTTATATCATTCATATAAATATATGATGAACACTTACTCGGGATGATAACAGATCGCATAGGGCTTCTTAACTATGTCAAACTTAAGAGGAGTCTCACTGATATTGTTACTTAAAGTAAATAGAAAAGCCCGCTCCGAATGTATGTAAACACCTTTGCGAGACGTTTTAGACCAAGCCACATCGGTGAATCCACCGCTAATCTCGGCATGTGAACCCTATACATTTTCAATTATATTTTCAAAGACACAACGAGCAAAATGCTTAAATAGAAATATGCATACCAAACATATAACGAAACAAGGCGCTACCCCATCACAATAACGATGAAAAGCTGTTGGACTAAAACCATGAGTAGAAGCTCTATATAACAAACGCCATATCTGTTTCGTTACGCCGTACCTAGAAAAATAATAATCAAACAATTGATCTCAGTTAGTTTTAGTTTTTAAGAAAAAAAAAAAAAAAAAAACAAATCACTCACCAATTATTCAGTACACCCTGTAAATGTAATTTATCATTTTTTAAGATCTGCGAGCCGGGAAACATGTTCACTGTTAGGCGCGGTTGTAAACGTTTATCGGCTTCGTTCATTGTATTACAGTTCGGAGTTACAAATCCAACGTTACCGTTACCGCTAACACCAACTCCGCTATGCGGTATTTTATTTGAATGCTGTAAAGCAGCATAACGATAACGTTCCAAGGACAATTCCATGGGAACAGCACCCGTTGGCTCGACTTCTTCGGCAAAGACCTGACTATCGATTAGCAGCAGACGCACATGCGATATTACACCCGATAATTGTTGGCAAACGCGAACTCTCTCCTCTTCCGTCCAATGAGCGGTGGGTTGCGTAACGCCAGCATGATTTTTAGCCCAAGCCAGAACACAACGCCATACATCTTCTTCTTCGAGGCAAAACTAATAAAACTCATAATTAAACATATAGCGGCAACTGGTGAGGACGATGAGAGGAGGGAGGGAGTGTCAATTCTTACTTACATAATCGGATGATATCAATTTAATGAGTGCCTCCTTTTTCAAATTAAGAAAAGCGTTTGTCTTCACGCATTCACTTGCATTCTCACCTATATAAATGATGCAGCGTTCCATGAAAGAAGCTGTACACTTAGCTCCTATTTAAAGAAGAATGAAAAGCATACAAACGAACATACAATAAAAATGCAAAAAAGTTCAACAAATTACGTAATTAATTCTACACTACACTCTTACACAAATAATCATTTCATGATCTCATTAATAGCTAGCAAAGCTAAGCATTTCTTCGTATTGCGTCCGTTTACTGATAAAATTTAAGCATTTAAACTCTAACTAAGACATAATAAAAATTATTTATCCTCATCTCAAAGTGACGCGAATTAATAATTCCTTCAACTTAATCATCTGATTGATGCAGTGGGAGGCATA